ACCAAAAGTTGAACATTTTTCAACTCTCTGCACTCAGGAAAAAAAAAAACGCCCAGCCAGCAAAGCTCAGCACAGAATTTAAGCACAGCGCCTCGTCACACTGCTGGCATTTGTAAGGTAGTGTAAATACGCAGCACTCCCATTGCAAAGAATTTAATAAGTAGACTCGCCTCAAAAAAATACTGTGGTGTACGAGGCTCCTTAATGTGCCGGAAAAAAAAAAAGATTGTTCACAAGTCCCAAATCTTGAGGCCGAGTCAGGTCTCAAGTCTTTTGAGGATGACTCTCAAGTCAAGTTTCAAATCACTGTGTGTACAATGCAAGTGCAACTCGTGTCTAAGTCCGCATCTCTTGTGTGTGTGTGCAGTGTAAGTTTCCACATCACACTTGTGCAAAGTTGCATCCTAGATCATAACCATGTTTGTGCATAAACGTGTTAAACTCAGATTTCAGGTGAGCGCCGGGGAACTTCACTTCTTCAGCAGATGAATGTGAAAAAAGCCAGCTGGTGTTAAACGGTGAAGGTCAAACATCCAAGTGGAGAAAAATAAGCCAAACATGTTTTTGAATGGTTAAATGTAATCCTTCCTTTAACTGGTTTTCTTCCTCATTTCTTTGACGACTCTTTTAGCCTCTAATTCTCTCCGTAGTCTACTTGTTTCATTCCCCATCTTCTTTCTACCGTTCTCTACAGCTCTACTGTACGGTCTAACTCCATTTTGTTTGCTCCATGATGGGGAAATGGGCCTTAAACTTGTCTAAGCAAAAACAGCTTAACAGGCAGAACAGGAAGGACCACAAATGTATTTCAAGAGTAAGATTCATTATTTACCGAAAGTGGATTACTTTCTGTAAAATGACTGCCAGCAGCAGTGGTGGGCTATTTTCCTATTTTTGTGACAAATTGGTCGGGCTGCTGTACAGTATATGAAGGTCACTGGTAAGATTCTTTCACTAAGGGGCATTCATTTTCAGCAGAAGTCATTTACCAACTGCTATTTTTTAATCAACAACTATTGTGACTGGCTGGCAGTATAGCTGTCCTTGACATTTAATATCTAGAGACGTCGAGCAGTATATGACCTATGATTCCTTGAATTGTATTTTTCCCAGCTGTGACATCACACAGAGAGGCAGTTCATAATGTCTTGTTCGAGCAGGGCAATTTCATCAAGTTTAAAAGTTCCCAAAGCGGTGAGTGGAACCAGAATCACACTTAACAACACTTAAATCACATCTGACGGCAACATTCATTCCACATGACAATTCTTCTTTTGCATAATACCCCCTCCTCAAAGATAGGCAGGATATCCAAAGAAATAAGCACATAATGGACTGCTGATATACAATGTTCCACTAAACTCTTCTCCTTCCTTTGCTCCCCTACTCTCCTCTACTCCCCTCGCTTCTCAGCGGTGGTTCCGTTGCTACTGGTGGGAGCTATAATTAATCGGAGTGGAAGCCGCGTTGTTGACCTTTTCGCAGGTGATCATCACCACGATGCGCCCGTTAATCGGTCAGCCATCAGTCTTCAACCACCACCACTGCAATTATCACACAGTCACTCACTCACATACACACGCAGGAAAGACGGCGCCACGGAGAAAAACGTCTTGTAGCTCACACACCACACAGATGCATGACTAAAGCATCCATCTGCTGAGGAAAATGTGAAATCTAAAGAACCTGCAATATCAAAAATTCACATGTAATTTACTCTGTTCTCACACTATCTGCCTCTATCTATCGTACACACATGTGCATACACGCCAGTCCACTGTAAAATATTCTCTATTAGCTGCCGGCTCTTTTTCTCTCTCTGGGTCCTGTACCTGACTATTACCTGTAATGACCGTGACATTACAACAATGATAACGGCGTTTGCTAATGCTGCACTTAGCACACATGTACACACTCGTGCAGATAGATACACACACACCGTACACAGGCTAAATTTGTTCAGTGTTTGTGAAGCTGGAAAATAGTCAAGTACTTTCGCTTCAACCAACAGCATGTCCATCTTCTCAGCATGTGTGTGTGTGTATGTGTGTGAGTGTGTGTGAGTGTGCAGGTGTGGTGGTAAATGGACGTAAATGCGTTTGCCGTCAGTATCTCAGGGTGAATCTCATCCATCCCTGGTACCTCACCACTCATCACAGTTTTTTGACTGCCTCAGTGAGCTCCACCAGGAAGTCGGGTAGCGTTCCTGAAAGTGTTCCTTTCATCGTCCGACAATATCGCCAGTCAAGGTCAGCAGTTCTCTCCTGCTAAAACACTCTGGGCAAGCCCCTGCCTCTCCCTCCAGAGTCATTTAATGGTTTGCCTGAACCTTGTTGAGGCAGAATTAAAGTCCTTCTTTATGTCCTGTGTGAACTCCTCCCACACCTGTACACCCTCTGGCCTGCCTGTCTATCAGTCTGTGACTGTAAGGTCTGCTGCATGTGTAACCCCCACTAAAAGTTCCAATACCACTGCCCACATGGGCATCAGAGTCACTCTGCAGGACTCACCAAAAGACTGCGAGAGGCCACAAACTCCAAATGATGACACTTTCTCACTTTGTAATGAATCATAGCTACAGATTGTGAGCTACTAGGGCTGGGAATAGGTGTATCTCCAGTCAAAGGATACCTACATTCAATCCTTTTGCACTGGGGGTCTGATCTCAGACTAACCCAACTCCCTGCTAGATCAGACTTTAGAGCCACTCTCCTTGGCAAACTGTTCAACATCTACCCAGTTAGCACAGGCTAACACAGCAGCAGCAGCAGCTAGTATCCAACACTGAGCCGTTAACTGGTCTCAACAAATTCACACTGACACCAAAATGGCTCAACCCTGTCGTTTAACTCGATAATAACGTTGGGTGACGTTAGCTGTGCAATGCTAACAGTCTGCCCTGTCACTGTGTGGACTCTCACGACTGTCCTCAGTGCAAAGCTCACACTCAGCTCCTGCAGCTACGTCTCATACAGTCTGTGGTATGGTGAAGTCAAGCAGGCAGTTCAGTGTGAAGAGATGCCACCAAAACAGTTTAAAGTATGGTTATACTTAATGCCGCTCCTTTCATATTCAGGCTATCAAATTCAGTATCACTTACGTAAGTATCTATTCGTAATTTTTAAAACTATACCTTGCCTTATGAGCTTTCATAACTCACTAACTTATACTGAAGCACGATACTAGCCTGGTTAGTTGGCAAAACTTCAGATTTCCCTTATATGTCCATCATTTAGATTTTTTAGGTCTTAACATCTTCTAATCCTTTTTATGTCAAAGATTTTAACGTGGCATTTTACAGCACACAAGCACAATATTATAATTCTTCATCTCTTAGATGTTCTTTTTAAAATTTCGAACACGTCTCCATGATACAGAGTACATGACAGATCTTGTTTTATTCTTTTTTCTCTTTCTAGTCAAACCAATTGCCAGAATAAATGCTGGTACTGTATATTTCTGCAAACCACGGACATGTTACATTTCTACAAGATATTCTTAAACTCTGCGTTTCTTTATGTTTCACAACACTTTGGTTAATGTGTGGTTATGTTTAGGCACAAAAACCTTTTTGTTATTGCTAAGAAACGATCATATTCCACCAAAACACCCCGTTTTGGTGGAACAATCACAGCTGGAAATGCGGCCAATGTCTCACTAAAATCACCCGGGTTTGTTGTTTGTTAGTCTTGAAAAATAGTCTGCAGCTTGGCAGCCATCTCACCTTCAACAGTGTCACGTCATCCACAGTCCCCTCCACCTCCTGATGATAGGGTTGCAGCAATATAACGGTCTCAAGGTATACCATGATATGAAAATGGATGGTAATCATGCCATGTGTATTTGTTTATCTATCTCACCTAGTTATTTTCAAAGAGGAGACTTTTTACATTGACTTCCATTTGAAAATTTGTTTCAAGTTTCAATTATAGTAATAAAACGTTTCCTCAACCAAAAAAAACCCCTTCCATTTTTATTCCTTTAAAGGTCATTCTAACGGATGATAATAACGATTCCTTAATACTGCGATATTTTCTGAAACAATGATCATACCGTGAAAATCTGATACCGTTGCAACCCTACCTGACGACAAAGTCGGCTCATATACATGTAATCAGAACTATGTCATTTCAGAAATGTTGATATGATATGAATGAAATGTACAAATTTAACATATCAGTAGTTTGCAGAAACGTATTACGCCAATATTTTCATCTGCTAACTGAGCTGCGCTAGCAGATACTGCAGGTGAGCACTGGCTGCACCCAGGATGCAGCAGTTGCAACGAGCAAGGTGTACTTTCTTTTTTATTTACCACCACAGCCCTGTGCGTGTGCGTGTGCGTGTGCGTGTGTGTGTCTATGTATAAACAAGGTGAGGTTGCACAATCCGTCTCAACTGCTTTCACTGATCATTCTTTCTATCTTCCTATTCCTCTTATTTTTTCCACGGATGTTGCTGTGCGGGGTACACTAAGAAAAAAAAATCCTGATGCATTTTACCTCACAGTACAACCGAGAGATAAAATAGATGTTATTCTCAATTGGCCACAAGATCTACATTTCAATGAACGATGGGCTAATTGTTATGTTTATGTTGCTCTATCTCTCCATTTCCATCTCCATTTCTACTCCTCCCTCCATCCGCCCTCAACTCTTTCTTTATCTTACTGTGTCTCCTTCCTTGTCAAGGCGCAATTATTTGCAATTTGCCTAAGTCATCCATTTGCTGGGACACCGAGCATGAAAACGAGGCAATTTGGTGTAAAATGGAGGCAGGCGGGCATCTGAGCATATGTATGAGTGTGTGTGTGTGTGTGTGTGTGTGTGTGTGTGTGTGTGGACAAGGCAGGGGAAGGTCCAAGCGCTGGTGGGGGGCCATGCAAGAACTGTCACGCAAAAGTGAAAATTAATGCCATGAACGCACACACTGAGATAAATCTGTGTGCGTGTGTGTGCGCATGTGTGTGTGTGTGTGCGACAGAAAGTAAGTGTACCTACCAGTCTGCACACATGACAATGTCAAAGTGACCCTCGAGCACCGAAATGTCTGACTCGCAGTCCCACCTCACCACCCTGTAAGCACACACATAAAACAGAAACCAAAGTTTAGTATTCGCAGAGCCGGTGACAGAAGGAAGCTGGCGTTCATGAAGCTGCGCAGCGAGCGACAGCAGTTGGTCTTTCACTGCTTCTTTTCTCTAACACTTTGAGCGCCATGACACCTCTCTCTCTCTGACACCCACTGTTTTTCTGCTTCAGTAGAGACCTGGAGAAAGTGTCAGGGAGGGAAGACATGTCATCTGTGAGGTAAAGAGAGGGAGCTTCTGACATGACACTTGACATTTATACCATGTGAACACACACACATACACACACAAAACATAAATGTGGCTATTCAACAGCCCCCCACCCTTATGTTATTGGCACGGCCACCACCAAAGTAGGTTCCTCGTGTTTTACGATATAAATATAATGATTAAGAATGTAGGAGAAAAGCTATCAAAGAAAAGACAATGTATATGATAGGATGAACTATCGTTAATCGTGAATAGTGAGAACCATAAAAGAAAAGAGATCTAATTAAAATAACAAAAGAGAAGGCACTAATTTACAGAGCGCAGGTTTCAGCCCAAAATTGGCATTATACATTTCTGAAAACCATGGATATGCTACATTTGTACGTTTCATACAGATCATGTCAACAATTTTACCGGGCCAGAGTTCTGATTACTTGTATATGAGCGGACACTGTCATTGGAAGGAGGGGATGCCTGACATCTAAGTAAGATGGCTGCCAAGCTGCTGACCACTGTTCGAGACCAACAAACAACAAACCTGGTTTCTTTTTAGTGAGACATTTACATTTCCAGCTGTAACTGTGGCATCAAACTGGGTGTTTTTTACTGAGACATCGGCGGCATTTGCAGCTGTGATTGTGGCACCAAGACCGTGAATTTTAAGCCAGAATATGCTCTTTTTCTAACCATGACCAAGTGGTTTTAGTGCCTAAACTTCACCACACGTTAACCACAGCACTGTTGAAACGTAAAAAAAACATGAAGTTGCCACATTTCTGCTGCACGATAACGTACAACTGTTTTATATCCATGGTTTGCATAAACATACAAAGCCAACATTTATTCTAGTGAATGGTTTCACAAAAAAATGAAAAAAGTATCAAACACGATATGCTATCAACTCCTTATCGAGAGCGAGACATCAGCAGCATTCCCGTCGGCGATTATGGCACCAAAACTGGGTGTTTTTTACCGAAGCATCTATGACATTTTCAGCCTTAATTGTGGCACCAAAACCAGGTATTTAAACTCAAAACATGCTCTTTTCTTAACCATTACCAAGTGGTTTTAGTGTGTAAACACTAATAGAAAAATGAATTAAACATCATCTGTTATGAACTCTTTATCAAGGCCAACAAACAACAACACTGGCTGCATTTTAGCGAGACATCAGCAGCATTCCCATTATGGCACCAAAACTGGGTGGTTTTCTTTGTGAGACATCTGCAGTGTTTCAAGCAGCGATTGTGCCACTAAAATCAGGTGATTTAAGTCAAAACATGATCTTTTCTTGACCATAACCAAGTGGGTTATGTGCTTAAACATAACCATTACTTGCTACATAACAAGGTGCAAATGTTACATACCCATGGTTTGCAGAAATGTATAATGTCAGCATTTATTCTAGCGATCGCGTCGAAGTTTTATGTGTTGTTCTGTTGGTTTTCCTTCAAGCTCTGACGTATGGTGCTGCTTCTACAGCAATGTCAGTTTTCACACAATTCAATATTACATTCTGGTTTGCCGTTTTGGCGGAGAGAGTCAAATTCTTGCCATTTGAGCAGG